CACAAGGTGGACAGGGCTGCCTGTTGGCTTGGTTGTTCTGGCTGGGGCATCCACATAGTTAGGGACGGAGCCTGGAATGAGGCAGGGGGGAGCCAAGGCCCAGAGACTGCCCTGTTCCAGCTCATAGCTCCAAGGAGTCCTGGGCTCTAAATTCAGTCATCCTTTCAGACCACACAGTGCATTGCTGGGACATTCTGTCTGTCCAGCATGGTAGCTACTAACCACAAGTGTTATTGTATACTTGAAATGTGGCTGGCACAGCTAAGAAACTGAATTTTTAATTTTACTTTAGGTTATTTATTTATTTATTTACTTTGAGACAGAGTTTCACTCTTGTTACCCAGGCTGGAGTGCAATGGCGCGATCTTGGCTCACCGCAACCTCCGCCTCCTGGGTTCAGGCAATTCTTCTGCCTCAGCCTCCTGAGTAGCTGGGATTACAGGCACGAGCCACCATGCCCAGCTAATTTTTTGCATTTTTAGTAGAGACGGGGTTTCACCATGTTGATCAGGATGGTCTCGATCTCTTGACCTCGTGATCCACCTGCCTCGGCCTCCCAAAGTGCTGGGATTACAGGCTTGAGCCACCGCACCCGGGCAGGTTATTTTAAAATTAAAATGAAGGCTGGGCACGGTGGCTCATGCCTGTAATCCCAGCACTTTGGGAGGCCAAGACTGGTGGATCACCTAAGGTCAGGACTTCAAGACCAGCCTGGCCAACATGATGAAATCCTGTCTCTACTAAAAATACAAAAATTAGCCAGGCGTGATGGCACATGCCTGTAATCTCAGCTACTCAGGAGGCTGAGGCAGGGGAATTGCTTGAACCCGGGAGGAGGAGGTTTCAGTGACCCACGATCGTGTCACCATGTTTCAGCCTATACAACAAAGTGAGACTCAGTCTCGGAAAAAAAAAAAAGTAAAAGTAAAAACATGTAAATTTTATTTTTTATTTTTTTTTCTCTCAAGACGGAGTCTTGCTCTGTCGCCCAGGTTGGAGTGCAGTGGCATGATCTCTGCTCACCCCAACCTCCACCTCCCAGATTCAAGTAATTCTCCTGCCTCAGCCTCCCAAGTAGCTGGGATTACAGGCCCCCACCACCATGCCAGGCTAATTTTTGTATTTTTAGTAGAGAAGGTTTCACAATGTTGGCCAGGCTGGTCTCAAACTCCTGATCTTGTGATCATCCATCTTGGATTCCCAAAGAGCTGGGATTATAGGCATGAGCCACCACGCCTGGCCAAAAAGTAAATTTTTAATGTGGAAGCTGGAGTTGCTGAATCCTGGCTAGAAAGTGATGTCTTCCTAAAGCAGTAAAATTAAATGAAAGTTAAATCGCCACATAGGGCTAGTGGTTGCCATTTGAGACAGCCAGTTCCACAACATTGTGAAGAGCTATGAGTCAAGGTGGGGAGAGAGATGGTGTTTGACTTACTTTGCTGGGTGTATTTAGACAGAGTGGTGGTGGGCCTCCTCCTGTGCTCTCCTGCTGGTTCCTGCAAATGTTAGGGACTGTTAAACGCTTCGCTAACCTGCATCACAACGTTCTAAATTACTTATGATCTCCCACATCTACAGATGAGAAAGTTACTTGCCCAACTTTGTAGAATTATCCCTGGGATTTGAGCTGGAATTGGAATGTATGCCTGTCTGGCTTTACGATGTGCCTGGCCCTGGACCAGCCTGGGTTTCACAACCATTATTTAATGTAATCCTAACATAATGTTCAGATGCAGGTGGAAGCCACCTCACTTATCCCCAGCACCATTCTAAAAGTTATGAATTGCCATCCTGATTTTACACATATGAGGAAGCCGGCTCCGAGGAATAGAGGTCTGCTCAAATTTGCGCAGAAAATTGTAGCATTGAATTTCACCTGGCAGGCAGCATTCTAGGGATGACTGTGATGACTACTTGTCATGGGAGTTCCCTTAACTGTAGGGATTTCAGTGCAAGCTTGCAAGATGTTGCTGAATTCTGGCTGGAAAGTGATGTCTTCCTAAAACTGAGCATGCTGGCCACCAAAAGCAGCCAAGTCATGTTCATTACTGCTGTGTGTGGAAAAATTCACAGTCTATCCCTCAACCAGTCTAACCAGTTTGGGGCTGGAGTGTTAAGTTGTCTCTGCAGACCAACTCCCTAAGAATCAAGGGTGGGACATGCCCAGAGGCTTATTGCTGTCACGTGCTTAGCAAGGTACCAGGTAGGGCCTCCCACCAGCTTGCAGAGCCATGCAGGTGGAGGCATTGAATGTTTCTATTTTGTTTTGTTTTGTTTTTTAACTTTTTTTTTTTGAGATGGAGTCTCACCCTGTTGCCCAGGCTGGAATACAGTGGTGCAATCTCAGCTCACTGAAATCTCTGCGTCCTGGGTTCTAGTGATTCTCCTGCATCAGCCTCCTGAGTAGCTGGGACTACAGGCACATGCCACCACTCCTCACTAATTTTTGTATTTTCAGTAGAGACCAGGTTTCGCCATGTTGGCCAGGCTGGTCTCGAACTCCTGACCTTGTGATCCACTCACCTCGGCCTCCCAAAGTTCTGGGATTACAGATGTGAGCCACCACACCTGGCTGAATGTTTCTGTTTATAAGACACCACTGATGTGCCAGGTGCTGGGCTCCTTTGTCCATGCATTTCCTCTCATTTGATTCTTACAGCCACCCTGCAGAACACCTCTTACCCTTGACAGTCAACAGAAAAGCTTATTGACTTTTGTGCATTCACTCATTCATTCAGCAGTTACTTCCTGGCACTAGGTGTCAGACACTTAGCAAAATCTGGTCCCTGGTTTCATAGGGCAGACAAGCTAAAGAGAGGAAAAGAGCTTCGTAAAGGAGACCATGATAGCTCGGGGCTGGTGCCTTGGAGATACTGCAGGTTCAGATGGAGTGGTGAGGGAAGAGGGTGTTTCTTCTGAGACCTCCAGGGTTGGGAAAGAGTCAGCCTCAGGGCTTTTGCACTGCCTTTGTCCTCTACCTGCAACACCAAAGAATCCCAATGTGGCTCTGTTTCTCTCTGTGAGACTTTGGACCAGTCCCTTTCCTTCTCTAGGCCTCAGTTACCTCTTCTACAACTCCAGATTGAATTAAACAAATTTCTGAGGATGCTTGCAGTTCAAATGCTAGGTTGCAGTAAACTTCTCATGCTCTTCAACAAAATCCTGCTATCCCTAAAATTGGTTTTAATTATAAAAGCCATTTCAAGCCAGGTGTAATGGCTCATGCCTGTAATCCTGGCACTTTGGGAGGCCAAGAGAGGAGGATCCCTTTAGCCCAGGAGTTCGAGACCAGCCTGGGCAACACTGTGAGACCCTGTCTCTACAAAAAAATACAAAAATTAACCAGTTATGGTGACACATGCCTATAGTCCCAGCTTCTCAGGAGGCTGAGGTGGAAGGATCAGTTGAGCCTGGGAGTCTAAGGCTACAGTGAGCTCTGATCACACTACTACTCTCTAGCCTAGGCAACAGAGCAAGACCCTGTCCCAAAATAAAATAGAAGCCATCTTGGACAATTCGGAAAGTAGGGGAAAGTTTAAATGAGAAGTCAGCCATAACGATAATCTTCCTCAGTCCTGTTCCGCAGTATCTTCCTAACCTGAACTCACCTCCAATAGTAGTGGCGCAATATCATCATCATAGTTAGTGACAGCAGTAGTAGTGTGATGAGAATAGTCATGATATATCACAACAACAACAACGTCGTCAGCAGAAGCAGCTGACATTCATCTGGCACTTACGGTTAAGCAGGCATTCTTGTAAACCATTTGTGCAGATGATGGCCTTTAATCTGCACAGTGACTCACAGACGCGTGTGCTCTTGATATACACATAAGGAAACTGAACTGTAGAGGGGCCAAGTGACTTGCTCAAGGTCCTGTGGTTAGTCCATCAGGGGAACAGGGAGCAGTAGATGCGCGATAAATATTTAATCATGTTAATCCCTCTCCTCGCTTGTACTGATGACGGTATCTACTGAACACTGCAAAGTCTAATTGTGACTTGAGACCAAGGAACGTCCTCGAAGGTTGTTTTTCCACTGAATAATTTCTATTGCAAGTTTGTTTTTATTTCTGCAGTGATAATATTTCCTAGGAGAAAATACTGAAAATACAGAGAAGCATAGAAAAAAGAAATTGAAGTGCCCCATAATCCCACCATCTGTTGTATTGTTAATATTTGTTATATTTCAGGCTGGTCGTGCTGGCTCATGCCTGTAATCCCAGCACTTTGGGAGACCGAGGGCGGGCGGATCATGTGAGTTCAGGAGTTTGAGACCAGCCTGGCCAACATAATGAAACCCCATCTCCACTAAAAATACAAAAATTAGGTGTGGTGGCATGCGCCTGTAATCTCAGATACTCAGGAGGCTGAGGCAGGAGAATCGCTTGAACCTGGGAAGTGGGGTTGCAGTAAGCCAAGATCAGTCCACTGCATTGCAAACGCCAGCCTGGGCAACAGAGTGAGACCAAAAAAATAAAAAAAATTTACACACACACACTTGGTATATTTCTGTGTCTCAATGTAATTTTTAAAACCAGGTTGAGCTCAGACTTCATCCGCAGTTTGTTCTGATGCTGCTTTTACGTGGTGTTATAGGATAAGCATTTCCCATGTTGCTGTCAACTCTTTAGAAGCATCCTTTTAATGACGGATGCAGGTTTTTATAGGCGAATCATCCTGTACTTTAAAAGTGAGAACTTACTCTTAGAAGCACATTAATTTTCCCTGTGAGGGATAAGGCAGGCTCAGAATAAAAAAAGAAAAGAGTCCTGTCACCTACCAGGTAAGTGACCTTGGAGAAGTCATCTCAAATTGCCAATCCTCATTTTTTGAACTGAGACTAAGAATAACAGGAAAAGAGTTGCTTCCTATGGTCAATGTGAGGCTAAGCCAAGAAGAGTTGTATTCAAGCGTTTTTTAAGTATATGTACAGTGAAGCAAACTTTGCTCTGGATTACAAGTTTTTATTTTATCTTTAGAAAACTGATTTTTTTCAGAATGCAGAAGTGGGTTCAAATTTAATCAAAGTGGCATCTACAACAGCAGCAGCCCTGAAAGAAGAAGATGGCCAAGTCTACTGCCGGCCAGAATTTCTCTGTGAAGGTAAAATGCATCCTCTTGTCCTGAGTTTACAGAAGGGGCAGATTTTCATGGGGACCCCAGAGGTAATACTTTCCTCCTGTGCATGGACAAGGGGCAAAGAGGAAAGTCTCTTGGGATGTCCCAATGTAAAGAGTCTGGGGACATTTCTCTTTTCTCTATCTTCACATCCTTTCTAGGAAGACAGTAGGTAAGGCTGGGCATGGTAGCTTACCCCTCTAGTCCCAGCACTTTGGGAGGCCAAGGTGGGCAGATCACTTGAGGCCAGGAGTTCGAGACCAGCCTGGGCAACATGACAAAACCCCACATCTACTAAAAATACAAAAATTAGCTGAGTGTGGTGGCATTTGCCTGTGGTCCCCGCTGCTCAGAAGGCTGAAGCATATGAGAATCACTTGAGCCCAGGAGACAGAGGTTGCAGGGAGCCGAGATTGTGCCATTGCACTCCAGCCTGGGCAACAGAGCAAGACACTGTCTTAAAAAAATAAAAAACAGGAAGACAGTAGGTGGTTGTTGGACCAGATAACTTCTGCAGATGCTGTCGCCTACTGAACACAGGCTTGTTGAACAGGCATAAGACATTTCCATTTTGACCTCTCAACATCCACAATATCCTGGAAAATAGGTGTCATAAGCCCCATAATGTAGAGCAAAAAGCTAGGCCTGAGAGACACTGAGCTACACACAGAACGCAGACCTCTAGAACAGAAGCCACAACCATGGAGCAGGGCTTCTCAACCTGGGCACCGTCACCATCTGGGGCTGGATCATTCCTTGCAGTGGGTGCTGTCCAGGGAGATGTAAGATGTTCAGCAGCATCCCTGGCCTCTGTGCACTAGAAGCCAGGAAGATCCCTCATCCCGAATTGGAGCAGCCAAAGATGCCTCCAGACATTGCCAGCATCCGGTGGGGGCACCATTGCCATGATGGAGAACCACTGCCCCGGATATAAGCCCATGAGGTGGGGATTGTATTCCTGTGCTCACAGAGGCTGGCATAGCCATCAAAGGGCAGAATGAATGGGCTTGTCCAAGGAGACTCAGCTCGAGGGTGACACAGTGTGCATTTAAACTGAGCACATTCACTGGGTGTGGTGGCTCACGCCTGTAATCCCAGCACTTAGGGAGGCCAGGGTGGGTGGATCACTTGAGGCCAGGAGTTTGAGACCAGCCTGGCCAACATGGTGAAACCATATCTCTACTGAAAATACAAAAATTAGCCAGGTGTGGTGGTGTGTGCCTGTAATCCCAGCTACTCGAGAAGCTGAGGCAGGAGAATCGCTTGAACCCAGGAGGCAGAGTTTGCAGTGAGCTAAGATTGTGCCACTGCATTCCAGTCTGGGCAACAGAGACTTTACCTCAAAACAAACAAACAAACAAACAAACCTAAGAGACTTGTTCCCACAGCCAACTCATTGCAGGAGGTTTGGGCATCTGCAAGGGCACACAGACCTGGGGGCTATTTTAGGGTAACACTTGGATTTGACCTAAGAATCCACTTCTGAAGAAGGCATCCCATGGATCCCATAACCAGTCCTGTGAGGCGCTTGGAGTCTTTAGAAATGAATCAATAGGTGATGCCAGGTCTGGAGGCACCAACCCCCATCCCCACTCACCCGCCACATCACTTTTTTTCCTAAGAAGACCATGCTTGTTTATTGTTGCAATATTGTCCACACTAAAAAGTGTACCAATAGGCCAGGCATGGTGGCTCACTCTTGTAGCCCAGCACTTTGGGAAGTCAAGTTGACCAGATCACAAGGTCAGGAGTTCAAGACCCACCTGGCAAACATGGTGAAACCCTGTTTTTCCTAAAGATACAAAAAATCATCTGGGCATGGTGGCACATGCCTGTAATCCCAGCTACTTGGGAGGCTGAGGCAGGAGAATTGCTTGAACCCAGGAGGTGGTGGTTGCAGTGAGCTGAGATCACATTGCTACACTACAGCCTGGCAAAAGAGCGAGACTCCATCTCAAAAACAAAAACAAAAAAAGTATAACAATAAACAAACCACCCATAATCCCTGCCCCTGTGGCAGCCCTTTGGAATACCCATCCAGTCCTCCCATCATACATGGATTGTGTGACATAGGCCAGGTCCCTTCCAGTGAGTTCTCTGACTGCTCTCATTTCATCCCGCAGTGTCATTCTGTTATTGTTGACATTAGATTAGTTCATGCACATCAAGGCTTAGTGTGGGGTCTGGCCCATAGGGAGAGCCCAGCCAACGGCACCGATATTAGAACAGCCCTAAGAAGCAGGCTCAGACAATCATAAAACTTGCCAAAAGGTAGGCAGCAGAGCCAGGTTCTGACCCTAGGCTTCTCTTATCCCAAAGCCCTTTGCCTCTGCATTTATACTTTTGCAAAGTGCATTCCATATCATCTAGAATGTTCTGAAGCTGCCTTTTGCACTTAATGATGTAACCTAAGTATTTTCCCTCATCCTGAAGATTCTTTAAGAACATGGCTATTAAGGACCATGAGCGGTGGCTCACACCTGTAATCCTAGCATTTTGGGAGGCTGAGGTAGGCAGATCACCTGAGGTCAGAAGTTTGAGACCAGCCTCAATAACATGGTGAAACCCCGTGTCTATTTTTTAAAATTAGAAAAATTAGCAAAGGGTAGTGGCTCACACCTGTAGTCCCAGCTACTCGGGAGGTTTAGGCAGGAGAATTGCTTGAACCCAGGAGGCGGAGGTTGCAGTGAGCCGAGATCGTGCCACTGCCCTCCAACCTTGGTGACATGGCTGTCAGAGTAAGACTGTCTCAAAAAAAGAAAGAAAGAAAGAAAGAAAAGCATGGCTGTTTATAGTTGCAAAGAATTCACAGGGGTCAGCATTGCTTTGCTTAACCAAGGGTCTGTGTTTGGATATTTACAGGGTGTGGGGTCAGGGGGATCCCAGACCAATTTTGCTGGGGGTCTAGAAGCATCATGGAAGTCTCAGGCCTACTTTGAGGTCAACTGCAAGTGCCTTCTTCTTCTTTAAGTATGGGAGTGTTCCCTCTACCTCACCTTCATCTGGACCTGTCCCTTGGAAGTTTCATGATTTCTCATTTGTGGAATTGGACATCTCCTTCCCATCTCAATAGTTCATTCCCCCTTTCTCCCCACTGAGCCTAATAACCATTTCTCCATGGAGGCACCTCTGCTTTCTCTTTTCTTGGACATTGAATATTCACCAGTGGTTGGCTCCAAACATCCATTTCGGTATTCAGACTTAGAAATTCAATTTGACACAATAGGCATATATAAATCCATACACATTTATGGAGAAAAGCTTTTAAGGTTTTTTTGGTTACATAAAAGTAATAAGCATGATGAAAATTTTACATAAGGAGAAACTTAGATTCTATAAGAGAAAAGTGTAAACTATAAGGTAATTACAACCCCAGCAATGTTTTCCCTTTGTTTGTAACCTAGTGGATATACATTAATTCTATAACCAGTCTTTTACACTTAACGTTATGGTACGGGCACTTGCCCATCTCATTACGATTATTTGAAAATCTTATTTTTACAAAATATTATTATATAATTCACCAGATTTAATTAACTGTTCTCCATTAACATCCTTTTCCACAGCTTTCCATTTCTGTTTTATTTTTTAATTTTAGAGATGGTGTTCTTGCCATGTTGACCAGGCTGATCTCAAACTCCTGGCCTCAAGCGATTTTCCCATCCCAGCCTCCCAAAGTGTTGGGATTATAGGCATGAGCCACCATGCCTGGCACAGCTTCCCATTTCTTTCTTTTTTGCTTTCTCTCTCTCTCTTTTTTTTTTTTTTTTTTTTTGAGATAGAGTCTCACTCCGTTGCCCAGGCTGGAGTGCAGCGGCGCCATCTTGGCTCACTGCAACCTCCACCTCCTGGGAATTCTTCTGCCTCAGCCTCCCAAATAGCTGGAATTACAGGCATGTGCTACCATGCCTGGCTAATTTTTTTGGTATTTTTAGTAGAGGTGTGGTTTTGCACGTTGATCAGGCTGGCCTCAAACTCCTGACCTTGAGTGATCCACCCACCTCAGCCTCCCAAAGTGCTGGAATTACAGGCATGTGCCACCACGCCTGGCTAATTTTTTTCTTTGTATTTTTTGTAGAGGTGGGGTTTTACCATGTTGGTCAGGCTGGTCTCAAACTCCTGACCTGGTGTGATCCACCTGCCTCTGCCTCCCAAAGTGCTGGCATTACAGGCATGAGCCACTGCACCCAGCCAGCTCCCCATTTCTCTTCACACATGTGCACATGCATGCATGCATACATACACATATCAGCACGTTTTTGAAAAGAGCTTTAAGAAATTGCAGTAGTCTCTGATTTTAATCATGCAATTCTCTTTGATTTGTATCTTGGACAATTAAAGATGTTTATACCGTTTAAAACTTACATCTGCAGTACCTTGATCTTGGGCCTTCTAATAGAGCTGGGGTAATTATCAAGAGGTTCCCTCCCCTGCCTTTGACCACCTTTGACCCAATCCAGGCTCTGGATCAAGCTCAGGGATCTTGGCGTGGGAACAGATTCTGAGGAAAGGCTACCCCGTCTGGCATGAAGGGTGGATGCTCACAGCCCCCAGTGGTGGGGGCTTCATCCGCTATCTCATTTCCTTGTAGGCTTAGAGCTTCCACGGGTCAACAGTGCTCACAATGGAAAGAGATACCGATACATCTTTGCTGCAGGAGTTCATTGGAGTCCAGTCCCAACCAAGGTACTGGCCTCTGTGTTCACAGGCTTTCCCTACAATGATTGTGTTTATGTGCAAAGCTGAATTCTAAGGTTCTGAGATGTTGATCAGAAAAGAGGAGGTCAGAGGGAGGTCAGTGTTGGACAAAATAAATTTGAAGTTATGATGGACAGCTGGGAGAGGGAGTGGCACCCAATGGGCTAAGGTTCCAGGAAGAGGTTATGGCTGGAGCTTATTCATCGATTTATTTATTCAATACATATTTATTGAGGACCAGCTATGGGCTACAATGTGGTAGACACTGAGAGTAAGGAAGTCGGTGGGGGTAATCCCAATCCCTGACCTAAGGAACTCACCCTCTTCAGCAGAGAGGGTACAGCTGAAATTTAAGGATTTATTTTGCTTGTTTTTTGTTTTTTCCTTTTTATTAATATATGTATATATATTAATTTTATTTTTTCCTTTTTATTAATATATGTATATATACAGAGAGAGACAGGGTCTTGCTGTGTTGTCCATGCTGGTCTTGAACTCCTGGGTTCAGGTGATCCTCCTGCCTCAGCCACCCAAAGTGCTGGGATTACAGGTGTGAGCCACCGCGCCTGGTCTATTTTGCTTCTTAAGCATTTGCCCAACACTTACTGTGTGCTGGGCACTGTGCTAAGTGCTATGGAGGTATCACTTTTTTTTTTAACATCTTCATCTTTTATAATAAAATGAAAAATCTTTTTTTTAAATGCTAACAGTACAGAAATGTACACAGCCAAAAATTAAGCCTCTCCATAGCCCAAGCCACTCTCCACTACTCCCAAGCCCTAGAGGGAAACAGGTCTATTGGGAGATTAAGAGAGATCCAGGGAATTGTATTCTTAGAGCCACAGAGTGATTGTATTATACTTTAAATGTTTGCATTGCATATATTCATTTATTTAACTGCTATAAAATTGCAGTGCAATGCCAGATACAAGATTTCTTCAATATTTTAATTTTGGGGTGGGGTGTGGTGGCTCACACCTGTAATCCTAGCACTTTGGGAGGCTGAGGATTGCTCGTGGCCAGGAGTTTGATACCAGCCTGGTCAAAAATAGCAAGACCGTATTTATTTTTTAAATTTTTAAAGATTTTAAATTTTAAAAGAATTCCTTGTATATTATCAGCTATGTGGTGGCCAGAGGAGCCATGTTTAAAACTGGGGGAGGAGAGTTAGCTGCTGTCATTTCTTGGCTGTACTCACCAGAGGAGCTGTCATGGGACACTATGTCAAAATCTGCATCCAACAGGCTTCATCTCTTCTCTGTGTGGATCTTTATACCATCTTATTTGCAGGGAATTGCGTGCTCTCAAACAAGTGATTTCTATGTTTCTCCTTTCTGGATGTACAGATAATAAAATATGATATTCTCACAAAGTCATCCTTAAAGTGGAGAGAGACTGATTGCTGGCCAGCGGAACCACTGTTTGTGCCCGTGCCAGGTGCCAAGGAGGAGGATGATGGTAAGATCTAAGACCCCAAGCCTTGTCGCTGCATGCTGCTGATGATCCCCTCCAACAGAGACACCATCTGGGGGCAGCTGACCACCCCCATGTCAGAAAGCTGGTGGACTGGAACTTTGAAGTCTACATCTGCCTGGGTCAAAGCTAAAGGGTTAGGGAGTCCCCAAGACCACCTTTACTTCTAATACCAATTTCGAAGTTTGAGGGTCCCCAAGATAACCTTCAGCTTCAATAATTCATTAGAATCACCAACCTCACTGCAAGCGCTTATGCTCACAGTTGTGGTTTGCTGCATTGAAAAGCTACAGACCAAAATTAGTGAAAGGAAGAGATGCACGTGACAGAGCCCAGCAGGGACCCATCAGGAGCTTCCAGCTATGCCCTCCCAGTAGAGCGCAGATAGCACTGACTTCTCCTGATAGAGATGTGTAACAATGCTCACAGAGTATTATTTCCAGCCAGGAGGCTCCCCTGAAGCTCAGGATGGAGAGTTTTTATTGGCGCTCAGTCATGTAAACCTGGTTGACTACCTGTGTGTCTGACCTTTATTTAGTCTTCATCCTTCTGGAAATTAAGCTCATACCATGTGGCCCAAGGCCCCACCATAAATCCCACTGTAAGGGTAGACTGTCTGGTGTGGCCTAAGGCCCCCAAATATACAAAAATACTTGTATCAAGCAGGACATTCCAAGGGTACAGAGGTGACCTCCCAGAAGCTGACAGAGGCCAGCTCCCTCTTTAGACGAGTTTAAGTTTTTTACTGCACAAAGTCCACCTCCTTTCCATTAGGTGACACCAAACTCTCTCATAACACAGAATTTGGTTTTAAAATTGATTGCAATGGCTGGATCCAAAATAAATGTTTTTAAGAAATGGTGTCTTGCTCTGTCGCCTAGGCGACATATAGTGGCATGATCATAGCTCACTGAAGCCTCAAACTCCTGGGCTCAAGTGATCCTCCTGCCTTAGCCTACCAAGTAGCTGGAACTGTAGGAGCATGCCACCACACCTAGCTAATTTTTTTTTATTTTTAGTAGAGAAAGAGTCTTACTATGTTTCCCAGGCTGGTCTCAAACTCCTCGGCTTAGGCAATCCTCTCATCTTGGCCTCCCAAAGTGCTGGGATTACAGGTGTAAGCCACTGTATCTGGCTTGGATCCAATTTTTTTTTGAGATGAGGTTTCACTCTCATTGCCCAGGCTGGAGTACAATGGTATGATCTTGGCTCACTGCAACCTCTCCCTCCAGGATCAAACGATTCTCATGTCTCAGCCTCCAAAGTAGCTGGGATTACAGGCATGTGCCACCACCCCAGACTAATTTTTGTATTATTAGTAGAGACAGGGTTTCTCCATGTTGGTCAGGCTGGTCTCGAACTCTCAACCTCAGGTAATTTGATCTACTTGGCCTCCCCAAGTGCTGAGATTACAGGCTTGAGTAACCATGCCCAGCCTGGATCCAAATTTTTAACAATGTATAATCACGTAAATGTTTCATGGAGCCCCTGGAAATGTGTATTTGTGGCCCATCCCTATTTTCTGGGTTTCCATTTGACTGAATGGTCCTTTCCCTCCTTAATTCTCAGAAATGCCCTGCCCACAGCCCTGAAGAGGCTAAGGAGGGTAACTAGAACTGTGGGTGGGGATGCCACCTGGCCAAGCTGGTGATGGGGCTGCCACACCTGCAGGGAGGGCAGGCTGCCCCACTTGAGCCTGCCAGCTTCTTCCCTCAGGTGACAAGGGAGTGGTTTTCCACCTGGGCCTTGTCTTCCTACTGATCATGGCATGGCACGTCAAGCCAGCAACCCTAAGCTGTGTCACTGTCATATCAGAGGCGGGGGACTGCTGGCATTGCCTGCCACTCAGGCTGGTCTCCCACTCAGCTAGGTAGACACTTCCTTTACATTCTCCCAATGAGGAGGGAGTATCGTTGTCTTCATTTTACCATCGGGGTGCTCAGAGAGTGACCTCGTTGCTCAAGGTCTCATACTTCATACATTCAGAGGTAAGGTTTAAATCCAGGCCAATCTGACTTCAACTATGCTCAACTGCTCTTCAGCCTGGGAGCCTCTAGAAACATTGAGAGTATTTGCAGGAAGTTGATGTGCATTATTTCATTTAAGTCTCTCTCTCTTGGAGTGAATATTGAGAGTATTTCCATTTTACAGAGGGGAAGGATGAGTTTACTAGTGTTGCTGCATGCGCAAGAGATGAATTGGGCTCTTTCAAACGTCGTGCTTCGAGCCAGGTGTGGTGGTTCATGCCTGTAATCCCAGCACTTTGGGAGGTCAAGGTGGGCAGATCGCTTGATCTCAGGAGTTCAAGAGCAGCGTGGTCAATACAGAGAGACCCCATTTCTACAAAAATTAGCCAGGTGTGGTGGCATGTGCCAGTAGTCCCAGCTACTTGGAGGGCTGAGGTGGAGGATAGCGTGAGCCCAAGAGATCGAAGTTGCAGTGAGCTGTGATCATACCACTGTACTCCAGCCTGGGTAACAGAGTAAGACCCTATCTCAAAACAAGTGAAAACCTAACGCCATTCTTCAATGCCGGCGATAATCCACCATGCCAGATATCCTCCTGGCAGCCCTGTGGAGTGTAGGTGAGATTACCCCCTCTCTACAGATGAAGAGGCTGCGGTTTTGAGAGGTCAAGGTCCCAGCCAGGGCTAGAACCAGGTTTTCTTTGCTTTTCTTTTTTAGACAGCATCTCACTCAGTAACCCAGGCTGGAGTGGAATGATGCGATCTCAGCTCACTGCAGCCTCCACCTCCCAGGTTCGAGTGATTATCAGTCTCCTGAGTAGCTGAGATTATAAGCACCTACCACCACACCTGGCTAATTTTTGTATTTTTAGTAGAGATGGGGTTTCACCATGTTGGCCAGGCTGGTCTCCAACTCCTGACCTCAAGTAATCCACCCATCCCACCTCTGCCTCCCATAGCAGTGGGATTACAGGCATGAGCAGCTGCACCCGGCCTAGAACCAGGTTTTCTGATTCCTGGTTCCCAGGCCTTTCCCTTCTGTTACACAGTGTCTCAAATTCACTTCCCTTCTGTTTTGGTTAGATACATATATTTAAAGAGGGCAGAGGGACACGCTGAGAAATTCACCCCTCCCATTGAAAGTTGCACTTTTACAAAGTCTCTTTCTATTTCCCCAAAGGAGTAATCTTATCAGCCATTGTCTCTACTGATCCTCAAAAGCTGCCTTTTCTGCTCATTCTGGATGCCAAAAGCTTTACAGAACTGGCCCGTGCCTCCATTGACGTAGACTTGCACATGGATCTCCATGGATTATTCATTCCAGACATGGACTCAGAGGCAAAAAAACAGGCCACTTCCGAGGAATGGCGAGACGGGGCTTCCAACTGCCGTGGGGCTCTGCCAACCTGACAATTTTGAGGTTTGGGCAGGGGAAGGGTAGCTCAGCTCTCAGAACTGCATGCTGGGTACATTTTTTGGATGGTGGGGAGGGCCTTCGTTACGTTTTGCGCTTATTCTTTCTGTGGGTGCTTTGACAACAACGTGGTGAGAGAAATTGTCAGTATCATTTCTTTCCTTTTATTTTGGTGGTAAAAAATGTGTTTGAAAGTCAAATACTTGAAAATCAAATATGTGTTGATTACAGCCAGTAATTCTAACAAAGCTCCTTTCCTTTACCATAGAGACCTTGACCATGAATCAGAAATTGCATTCAATCACATTACCATCATTTTTAGAATGTGCCCCTAACCTATTAGAGAAGAGACAGATCATTATTTATCATCATGCTCTGTCTCTTTCTCTTTCCTTTGCTGCCTCCCTTATTTCTAATGGACTAAATTGTGTATCTGGGAGTTCTCACTTCCTCAGCCAGGCCCGATTAGTTAAGTTACGTGACCAGGAAGGCATGCTGCTTTGTGGTCGCTCCATGCAAGTCACGGCATAATATAAAATAATAAAAACTTTAAAGTCTACTCAGACTTTATTTTTACATGGCTTCTTCCTCTGAAGGTCTTCTAAGGCAAGAAAATAGAGTGGCAGAGCTTGACAGTTCACAGCCAGCACGATGCCTCATTGTACAATCAATGGGACGAACAGATGGTGTGGGACTCCTCTTTGTAAGAGGGGATTAAGGTACTGGACATTGACCTGCCTAGCCACAGCTGAGGGGCTAGAACCCACGATTGAGTCCCAGGGCCTGGGCTGGCATGAGGAGTTCTTCCCTGCTGCTGAGAACTAGAGCAGTGAGCCCTGCCCATGCACGTACGTAAAAGGAATTTCTCCAAGTTTGCGTGTGCTGCCTAGATAAACCAGGCATTTGGGGCAGAGCGGAAGGAGGGTGAAGGCCCCTGAGCCAGGTGGTGATGGGGATGGAGAAAGTGGGAAACAAGACTAGTGGGATGTTCCGCTACTACTGGGAGCCCCTTTAGGTATCTGAGTCTACAGTCACCTGGGTGCCTGATGCGTGGTTTAAAAAACAGCAGGCTGGACAATTCCCAGCTCATGGGCTCAGGGGAGCTAGTCCTCACAGCCTTGTTCTGCATTTACCTCCTCTCCTGAATCTGGATTTCATTTAGTCATCAGTGTGGATTCGATCATGTGTCTGGAGGATGGGAAGGACTCTTTAGTGGTACTGCATGGAATCCCCCAGAGGGGTGGCTCCCTCCAGGATGGTCTTAGCTTTTGCCCTGCAACTACCATGGAGCCATACTTAGCTTCTACCAAAATGTAGGCTCCACGAGCCCAGGGAGTTAAGTTTTTTTATTTTATTTCTTTCTTTCTTTCTTTTTTTTTTTTTTTGAGACAGGGTCTTGCTCTGTCACCCCAGCTGGAATGTAGTGGTGCAATCTTGGGTCATGGTAGCCTCAACCTCCCAGGCTCAAGTGGTCCTCCCACCTCAGCCTCCCAAGTAGTGGGGACCACAGGCATATGCCACCATGCCCAGCTAAGTTTTGTATTTTTTGTAGAGATGCGGTTTCATCATGTTGCCCAGACTGGTCTTGCTTGAACTCCTGGGTCAAGTGGTCCTCCCGCCTTGGCCTTCTAAAGTGCTAGGATTACAGGCATGACCCACCTTGCTCAGCCTTTTTTTATTTTTTATTTTTTTGGGTTTTTTTTTCGAGATGGAGTCTCACTCTGTCACCCGGGCTGGAGTACAGTGGCACAATCTTGGCTTATTGCAGCCTCCACTGCCTGGGTTCAAACTATATTCCTGCCTCAGCTTCCCAAGTAGCTGGAGGTATATGCCACCACACCCGGCTAATTTTTGTATAATTTAAGTAGAGATAGGATTTCGCTATGTTGGCCAGGCTGGTCTTGAACTCCTGACCTCAGGTGATCCACCTGCCTCAGCCTCCCAAAGTGTTGGGATTACAGACATGAGCCACTGCACCCAGCCAAGCCTTTTTTTCTTTTCTTTTTCTTTTTTTTTTTTTGAGATGGAGTCTCACTCTGTCACCCTGGCTGGACTGCCATGGTGCGACCTCAGCTCACTGCAACCTCCACCTCCCAAGTTCAAGTGATTCTTCTGTCTCAACCTCCTCAGTAGCTGGGATTATGCACACGCCATCACGCCCCGCTAATTTTTATATTTTTCATAGAGACAGGGTTTCACCATATTGGCCAGGCTGGTCTCTAACGCCTGACCTCATAATCTGCCAACCTTGGCCTCCCAAAGTGCTAGAATTACAGGCATGAGCCACCACACCGGGCCACCTTTTTTTAGTTGAAGTTTTTACTGAGATAGTTGTATATGCACATGCAGTTTGAGAAATTATATAGAAAGATCTCATGCAGACTTTACCCAGTTTCCCCATTTGTAAGATTTTACAAAATTATATAGTACAATATCATAACCATGATATTGACATTGATACAATCCACCAATCTTATTTAGATTTCCCAGTTTTACTTGTACTCATTTGTGTGTATGTGTGTATAGTTCTAGACAAATTCTAGACTGCATCCACCATCAAAGGCAAGATACCAAATAGCACATCAGCACGAGGATCCTTCACGTTGCTTTGTATCACCAAACCTACCTCCCATCCCTAACCTCCCCTCCCATCCCTAACCTCCCCTCCCATCCCTAACCTCCCCTCCCATCCCCTATCCTCCCCTCCCATCCCTAACCTCCCCTCCCATCCCCTATCCTCCCCTCCCATCCCCTATCCTCCCCTCCCATCCCTAACCTCCCCTCCCATCCCTAACCTCCCCTCCCATCCCTAACCTTCCCTCCCATCCCTAACCTCCCCTCCCATCCCTAACCTCCCCTCCCATCCCCTATCCTCCCCTCCCATCCCTAACCTCCCCTCCCATCCCCTATCCTCCCCTCCCATCCCCTATCCTCCCCTCCCATCCTTAACCTTCCCTCCCATCCCTAACCTCCCCTCCCATCCCTAACCTCCGCTCCCATCCCTAACCTTTCCTTCCATCCCTAACCCCTGGCAACCACCACAAAATGGTGTCATTTAAAAAATGTTATGTAAATGGGATGATGCGGTTTTAACCTTTTGGGATTGGCTTTTCTCACACAGCAGAATTCCTTGAAAATTCATCCAGTCATGGTGGGTATTCATCCAAGTTATTAGGCATTGGGTGTGTCTGACTCACTACTTTATTCTCAACACTTGTAACAGTGCCTGGTGTAATGTAGGCACTCAAAACGTACTTGTTGAACGAACAAATGCACCAGTTCTCCCAACAGATTCAACTCCTCAATGCATCAACGAGAAAAGGATGTCTTACTGGAGATCTCCTGGGAGACAGCGAAGGGAGTCCGCACGGAGCCCAATGACAACACACACAGTTCCCTGCTGAGTTTCCCTAAAACCCCTCCTACCGTTCTCAGCATTTCCGTGTTTGCCCTAAGCTTGCATACCCTGCTCAGAAAAAGTGCAAGTCATGGAAATGGAAGGACAAAGACCACCCAAATCGCCTTTGGGAATCTCAGTACCTCCAGCCTTGATAAAATGGGCGGAGGGGAAATGTTTTCTCAGTGCCCTGAGAAAAGCGTGCTTAAGGCCTGCGTTTGGGTGGCAGGAATGGAAAAGAATTGAAAACTGAGACTGGCCCTCACCCACTCATTCTTCTACTTTAAATATTTGAGAAGAGGGCAGAATTAAAAAATGCTTCCCCACCTCCACTGCACTCGATTCCTATTGCCAAACAGCACCCAGAACTCGTCATGAAAAAGGGCGCAGTTCTGCGGGGAAGAAAACTATGTCCGTGGTTTGTTTACCTTGTTTAAGATGACAGGGAGAATACCAGACTGATGAGGGAGGCTGGCACGCCACATCTTTCTTTCTCAGTTTCAGAAACACCAAAGGAGGATGCCAAGATACTCAGTTTATCTGGGTCCTTAATTCTGACACATTTCATACACAGGCCAGGGTAATTAGCTCAAAACTGCAAGAGCTATGAAGCACGCTCCATTCTTGAAGGACCCACAAGACACTCCGTCTTATCCTCTGAGCCTTCCTTGTTACGTTTCATGTGGGTGGAATATATGACCAGGACGTTATACAGGAAAAATCACTGGATGTGTTTATTGCTTTAATAAAGCCTCAGCATTTCCCGAGTGCTCTATGCTGCAAGCATCAGGTACGTGATAAGAAACTCAAATGTCTGCTCCCCCACTGACTTTTTCCACCAAAGCTTTCTCTAATTCAATCCCAATTCAGGAACAACCTGGATAGGCACTTGGGCAATCAACTCACAAAAAATTTAAGTGTGTTGGTATGACATCTGCAATATTGGCTCAAACACCTCCTCCTGATAAGTTACTGAGGTCAACCTGAAGTGGTTTTTTTTTTGTTTTTTTTTTTTTTTTTTTTTAGGCATAGTTTTGCTCTTGTTGCCCAGGCTGGAGGGCAATGGCATGATCTTGGCTCACTGCAACCTCCACCTCCTGGTTCAAGAGATTCTCCCACCTCAGCCTCCTGTGTAGCTGGACTACAGGCACGTGCCATCATGCCTGGCTAATTTTTGTCTTTTTAGTAGAGGTGGGGTTTCACCATGTTGTTCTGGCTAGTCTCAAACTCCCCACCTCAGGTGATCCGCGTACCTCGACCCCCCAAGGTGCTGAGATTATAGGCGTGAGCCACAGCACCCTGCCAGCCTGACTTCTTTAAGAAAGTTGCCGGTTGTCCAGACACGGTGGCTTGCACCTGTAATCACAGCACTTTGGGAGGCCAAGGCAGGCAGATCACAAGGTTAGGAGTTTGAGACCAGCCCAGCCAACATGGCAAAATCCTGTCTACTAAAAATACAAAAATTAACCAGGTATGGTGGCACTTGCCTTTATAGTCCCAGCTACTTGAGAGGGTGAGGTGGGAGAATTGCTTGAACCCGGGAGGCAAAGGTTGCAGTGAGCCAAGACGACACCATTACACTCCAGCCTGGGTGACAGAGTGAGACTCCATCTCAAAAAAAAAAAAAAAAAATTGCTGGTCTAGGTTAAGTACCACCTCTGATGGCTCACAAAAAATCTAAGTGTGTTGGCGCGATGTCTACAATATTTGCTCGAAGATTTCCTCCTGACCAAAGTTACTGACATCAGCCTGACTCCTTTAAGAAGTTTGCTGGTCCAGGTTCTCTATAAACACCTTTGATGGCTTCTAAGAAACTGTTTAAAGACTGTTTGAGTGGTTTTTAAATGGCCAGGAGAAGTCTTTCTCATGACAAATCAGGACATGCAGACCAAAAAGTCATCCCCATCATTCTCAACGTCCCACAAATGATGAGATGTGTGGCCTCAACACCTGAATTTCTCCTGGGAGTTTAGACTCAGAGCTCCTGGACAGAAACACAAAGCACCAGCTGCCCCAGCTTCTGTGCCACATCAGAAAGCATCCTTTGAGGTGCAGCCCCGGCTAGGAAGCAGGAGATCTTACAACCAGCAAAAAGAGATGTGGCAGTGTGGTATTCAGCCAGCATGGGGAAGAGGACAGTTTCTTTCTTTCTTTTCTTTCC